ACATTCAGGCCTTCGGAGTCACCAGCAGCATTTGACGTTGCTATCTTTGGAAACAGCACGCGCCTTCGGAGTCCACCTGTGCTTATCTCTTGGCAGTGCACTAGCCTTATAAAGACACACACATGGCCATGCCACTCAGACCAAAGGAATTTCAGAACTCTGAAAATAATACGCCCCATTTAGGGGCTGCAGAGGGGAGAGGCTCAGAGCTCAGCTCCACTTGCTAAGATGTTGATATAAAAAAAAAATCAAGGAGGTATGTACGTTAACAAATGCAGATTCCCTACATTTCCTCCACCCAGGGATCTGAAACCATGTGGTCCATCAGAAGAAGGGCTGGACGTCTGTAATTAGCAGGCTCCTGCAGCTGTGGGTGCTTGTGGACCACAGAACACACTTTAATACCCTCAAATATTAGTGTTTGAAGACGTTGCCTCCTGAAGCTGAAAGAACAAAGCCCTTCAAGGCTACTCAGGAAGGGAAGTAGACAGGGATGCTTGGGAGGCAAGGGGTTAAGTAATGTCTGGGTCAACGTTCTTTGTAGACTCCTGTTCATCATTATTCTAACTCTTATTTCCACCATGCATATCCAAAGTCCCTAGATCAGGCAGTTGCCACACCAGGCTGTGGCTCAGATTGGAGCATCATTCAGCCCTCAGCAGAGAAACTTCTTCCTGCAGCAGATGGGAACTAACACAGAGACCCACAACTGGACCATGTGCAGAGAGGGAGAGACTTTGGAGCACCTAGCCCTAAATGGGGTCTTCATCAAAGCCCTCCCTCGGGGCTCTGTGCAGAAGAGCCAGAGGTGGTGGCTGACTCCAGGAAATGGAGTCTTCTGGACACAGCAGGACTGGGGCACACAGGGACTCACAGAGACTGGCAGTGCACACACAAGACCTGCAAGTTCAAGCCAGACAGGGTCCCAGCACTGATAGGAGGAAGTGAACAGAGAGTCCCACTTCTTACCAAGAAGCTATTTGCAATTAATAGGTGCTGGGAACCATATTAGTTTTCTCCAACAGGGTGTCAACTGGGTATACCAACCACACTTCAGGGCACAGGCCCCATGCCTAGGAGTAGTTGGTCAACACAAAACAGACTTCCATGATTTTTATGTGTGAGTGCTTTTTGTTTGGGTTGGTCTTTTTTTACCTTATTGATTTTTTTAAAGTTTTATTTTGAGTTTTGTTTTTTGTTGTTTTATTTAACCTTTTGTGTGTGTGTGTGTGTGTGTGTGTGTGTGTGTGTGTGTGTGTGTGTGTGTGTGTGTGTGAGAGAGAGAGAGAGAGAGAGAGAGAGAGAGAGCACAAACATAAAGTTGGTTAGGTAGGGAGGTGGGGAGAATCTGGGAGAAGTTGGGGGAGAGAAAAGAATATAATCAAAATATATTGTATGAAAAACTTTTAATTCCCTAGAGCAGTGGTTCTCAACCTTCCTAACGCTGTGACCCTTTAATACAGTTCCTCATGTGGTGACCCCCCGACCACAACACTGTTTTCATTGCTACCTTCCTCACTGTAATTTTGTTAGTGTGATGAATTGTGAAGAGCTGTGTTTTCCAACGGTTGTAGGTGACCCCTGTGAAAGGGTCGTTTGACCCCCAAGGGGGTCAAGACCTACAGGTTGAGAACCACTATCCTAGACCAACTGCCCCTTTCTCTTTGTCCTTTAAGTGCAAATCAGCTGGTATTTGCAGTAAAACGAAACATGAGGAAAATAAAGAGAATCATGACTATGAATATGTAGTCACAAACATCCAGTTTTCTAAAACATAGATCGCTAATGCGAAAGTGACCATCCATAAGTGCAGATGGGTGTCCCCTACCTTCACAGTCTTGACTCCTAGATTCTTAGCCTCTGTGGTGGTTTGAATAAGAAAGGCCCCCATAGACTCAGGTGTTTGGATGTTTGGCCCAGGCAGTGGCACTATTAGGAGGTGTGGCCTTGTTGGAGAGTGGGTGTGGCCTTGTTGGAGGAAGTGTGTCACTGAGGTTGGACTTGGAGGTCTTACATGCTCAAGCTAGGCCTAGCGGGACAATCTCCTTCTGCTACCTGTGGATCAAGATGTAGAACTCTCAGCTCCTTCTCTAGCTCCATGTCTGCCTGCATGCTGCCATGGTTCTTGCCATGATGACTAAACTTCTGAACTGTAAGCCAGCCCCAGTTAAATGTTTTCCTTTATAAGAGTTGCTGTGGCCATGGTGTCTCCTCACAGCAATAAAACCCTAACTCAGACAGCCTCCATGTCATCTACAGGAAATGGAAAATGAGTTTCTCTGCCCTGTGTATGTTCTTGAGTTTATAGTTTACAGCAGGACCACCCTCATGTCCCTACCCAGAGTGCTCCATCTCTTTGTTCCTCCAGGCTCTGATGCACCCCTGACACAAGCTGAAAGAGCAGCTCGAATGCCTGTGCCCAGCAGCATCCTGGATGGTGGTCTGTACCAAGTGTGGCAGTAACTGGAAAGCCAGCTCCTTGGATTTATATCCTACAAAATGTTAAGCCAAAAACTTAGGTGTGACTCTCCACCTCAGACTTCCAGGGCCCTGCATTTGACAAATACCTTCCTAATTCTTCACAAGTAGTTCTCAACCACAGGACAGGACCACAGTTCAGAGCATAAGGCTGGGAAAACTATATTTTTCATAACAAAAAGGCAGAGTCATGACTGACAAAGTGTTTGCAGCTGTGAACTGATGTGTAAGAGACAATATACACCGGTGTAATGCTCAATCCCATTCATTAGCCACTCACCAGAGCCCTTTGCGGAAAAGAATCAGAATCCACTAACAGAGCCTGCCCTGGAAAATCTGGGGTGTATGGTTGCTGTAGTAATTGATGCCTTTGAGAACAAACCCATGCTTGGCTAATTACAGCTTTCTATTTTTAAATCCATCTCCATTCTTCTCCCCCAACCCAACATTTCTCCAGGACACCAGCAATAAAATACTATTGCTGCTACCAGCACAGCCTGTGCAGGCTCAAAATAACTTGTGTGCAGCCCACTGGGAGGCCCTTGTCCCCCGACACACAAGGACCCCAGGGTGCCTTTGAAGGACTCCCTACACAAAGCCACACCAACAATGACACAGACCTCTGGGACTATGTCCCACTTAGGAGCTCCCAGAGTTAAGGGTCAGGGTTCAAGGGTGAGGCTTGCTCCTGGTTGGCCTTTGGCCTCCCAGAGCCATGACCCAGGCCACCATGCTGCTTCATGGTGGCTTTGTGGGAACAGGCCATGAAATGCGTGTAAGTCACCTCTCTAGAGCCTGCTGGGCTGCATAAGGGGGAGCCCACAGCACAGAAGGGGTTCCCGACAGCCTGCCAGGCATTGGGCTAAAAGCAGAATCCCTCCAGCTCCTCTGGAAGTCTGTCCTTCTCACCACAGGAGTGAGTGGGACTGACAGACAAGGCCACCAAATGAGAACTGGCTCCCTATGTAGGGAGTCATCATCGGTACTCACCGGCTTCCTGACCTGGGGCATGTGCCGACATGAGGGACTTAAGTGACAGAACCATCTTCTAGCAGTCTGGGGGAGTCAAGTCTGAGGCTGACATTATCAGCAGGGCTGTGCTTCTCAAAGGCCCCAGACCCACCTTCCTTCCAGGCCTGGTCGCTGTCAAGTTTTACTTTCTGGATTAGAGCTACATCCCTAACATCTGTCTTCTCTTCATATGCATTCTTCCTGGAATGTCTAGATGCCATTTCTACAAAGCACCAAGCATACTGGATTAGGGCCCACCCAACCCACTATTGTCTATTGCCATACGAGTAGTTTCATATTGCATGGGTCATTTGTTCTGTCTCAGGATGCATAAACAACTCCAAGGTGTCTCAAGATGCATCCACCACTCCAGTGTCTCAGGATGCATCCACCACTCCAGTGTCTCAGGATGCATCCACCACTGCAGTGTGTCTCAGGATGCATCCACGACTCCATTGTCTCAGGATGCATCCACGACTCCAGTGTCTCAGGATGCATCCACCACTGCAGTGTCTCAGGATGCATCCACCACTCCAGTGTCTCAGGATGCGTCCATCACTGCAGTGTGTCTCAGGATGCATCCACCACTGCAGTGTCTCAGGATGCGTCCACCACTGCAGTGTGTCTCAGAATGCATCCACCACTGCAGTCTCAGGATGCGTCCACCACTGCAGTGTGTCTCAGGATGCATCCACCACTGCAGTGTCTCAGGATGCATCCACCACTGCAGTGTCTCAGGATGCATCCACCACTGCAGTGTCTCAGGATGCATCCACGACTCCATTGTCTCAGGATGCATCCACGACTCCAGTGTCTCAGGATGCATCCACCACTGCAGTGTGTCTCAGGATGCATCTACCACTCCAGTGTTTCAGGATGTTTCGGATGTAGTGTTTCAGGATGCATCCACCACTCCAGTGTCTCAGGATGCATCCACCACTGCAATGTGTCTCAGGATGCATCTACCACTGCAGTGTTTCAGGATGTTTCAGATGTAGTGTTTCAGAATGCGTCCACCACTGCAGTATCTCAGGATGCGTCCACCACTGCAGTGTCTCAGGAAAGGACTCAAGGAGTGTAGAGCAGGTGACTGTCAAGGATCTGCACAGGAAAGGCACCATGCCGTGATATCAGTCACCATGATATGAAGTCCGTGCAGACCCACGTAGCCCCTCCCCCAAAGCACTGCGGGCCCGTGCACAATCTTCCGTTTCTCTCCACCAGGTTGAGCTCAGGTACACAGAGGGAGAGCAGAGAAACCCAAGCTCAGAGCCCTCTTCAAAGACACCAGGGAGCCCCGTTTACATGTGATGGCACTTGGTCATTGCCATATTGAGACCGAGAATATGTTTAAATTAAAAAAATTCAGTGCCCATATACATGATGTTCTTTTTTAATTTTATAATTACTTTAATTTTACCTATCAGTCATGGATTCCCCTGTCCTCCCTCCTCCCACCCCCCAGCTTTCCCCTACAACCCACCCCCCATCCCCACCTCCTCCAAGGCATGCACCAAGGACAGGTCCCGATCCCACTGCCTGGGGACCCCCTATACAGTTCAAGCTCATCAACTGTCCCACTTATCCAGAGGGCCTGGTCCAGTTCCATGGGGGCTCCTCAGCCATTGGTTCACAGAGATCTCCAGAAGAAAAGAAACACTTCCAGCTCGGCATTACGTGTCCAGCTGAACCTCAGTCAGGTGGATTCCAGAGTCTTGCTTCTGCAGTCAGCAACCCCTCTCACAAGTTGTGAGTTCCCTGAAAAAAATGACCAAGAGGGAAGAAGGCTGACAGTCCTCGGATCATCATGAAGAAAACATTCTGACTCACAGGAGCCCTGAAGGAAACTTAGAGGCCCCAGGAGGCCCTGAGACCATGACCACAGACCCATTAGTATGTCCTTAGGCAGGGGTCGTGCCAACTATGTGGGTACAGCAGGGGTGGCGATGCCTGGAGAGGGCGGACTTGCCACAGGAGGATGCAGTACGCCATGAGAGGACACTGATCAGGGGTCACCCTGGTTACGCCATGAGAGGACACTGATCGGGGTCACCCTGGTCGAAGAGAAGACTTACAGCTCAGAAGTTAGGGGAGAGCCCCAAGCCTGAGCAAAAAGACTTAAATTCATGCCAAAGCTGGGGACTTCGGATCCTCAACTTCCTGACCTCAGTTTACATGGAGAGCTGGCCATGGCGGCATGCACCTGTAACCCCAGGACAAGGGAATGAGAGGTAGACAGGAGGGTACCTGGAGCTCGTTGGCCAGTGAGTCTAGATAAATTGATAGGCTCTAGGTTCAGGGAGAGATTTTTCCACACCAGTGAAGTGGAGAGTGATCAAACAAGGACCTGTGGTCAATCTCTGGCCTCTCCAGGCCCTACCGCACAGGTGCCCTACCACACAGGTGCCCTCACACACAGGTGACCTCACACACAGGTGTCCTCACACACAGGTGTCCTCACACACAGGTGACATCACACACAGGTGCCCTCACACACAGGTGACCTCACACACAGGTGTCCTCACACACAGGTGACATCACACACAGGTGACCTCACACACAGGTGTCCTCACACACAGGTGACATCACACACAGGTGTCCTCACACACAGGTGACCTCACACACAGGTGACCTCACACACAGGTGTCCTCACACACAGGTGACCTCACACACAGGTGTCCTCACACACAGGTGACCTCACACACAGGTGTCCTCACACACAGGTGCCCTACCACACAGGTGTCCTCACACACAGGTGACCTCACACAGGTGTCCTCACACACAGGTGTCCTCACACACAGGTGTCCTCACACACAGGTGACCTCACACAGGTGTCCTCACACACAGGTGTCCTCACACACAGGTGTCCTCACACACAGGTGTATTCACATCAGAACGTACATGCACGTACACCAACACTACCAACACCTGTATACAGGGATGGAAAGATGGCTCAGGTGGTTAAGAGCACGTACTGCTCTTGCACAAGACCAGACTCAGTTCCTACCACCCCTCAGGTGGCTCACAACTGCCTGTAACTGCAGCTCCAGGAGATCTGACACCCTCCCATGGCCTCCAAGATCACTGCACTTACATGTATACACCTACACACAGATACATAATAAAAACTTCATCCCCTCATCATTTGCTAGTTCTGCTTTTTCTACATCAGTTCCAAGGTTCTCAGCAGGAAGCAACGGTTGGCTTTGCAGCAGGTGCTGAGAGGCAGTGGACATCAGCACAGCCCCAGGCCCCAGCACAGAACCCTCAGTGGACATCAGCACAGCCCCAGGCCCCAGCACAGAACCCTCAATGGACATCGGCACAGTCCCAGTCCCAGCACAGAACCCTCAATGGACATCAGCACAGCCCCAGTCCCAGCACAGAACCCTCAATGGACATCAGCACAGCCCCAGTCCCAGCACAGAACCCTCAATGGACATCAGCACAGTCCCAGTCCCAGCACAGAACCCTCAGTGGACATCGGCACAGCCCCAGGCCCCAGCACAGAACCCTCAATGGACATCAGCACAGCCCTAGTCCCAGCACAGAACTCTCAATGGACATCAGCACAGCCCTAGTCCCAGCACAGAACCCTCAATGGACATCAGCACAGCCCCAGTCCCAGCACAGAACCCTCAGTGGACATCGGCACAGCCCCAGCCCCCAGCACAGAACCCTCAATGGACATCGGCACAGCCCCAGCCCCCAGCACAGAACCCTCAATGGACATCGGCACAGCCCCAGGCCCCAGCACAGAACCCTCAATGGACATCAGCACAGCCTTAGTCCCAGCACAGAACCCTCAATGGACATCAGCACAGCCCTAGTCCCAGCACAGAACAATGGAGTTCGGCACAGCCCCAGCCCCCAGCACAGAACCCTCAATGGACATCGGCACAGCCCCAGCCCCCAGCACAGAACCCTCAATGGACATCAGCACAGCCCTAGTCCCAGCACAGAACAATGGAGTTCGGCACAGCCCCAGCCCCCAGCACAGAACCCTCCTGGGGCTCCATGAAGCCTCATGTTCCTCCAGCCCACTGCCTATGCCCCTGCTGTCTCTTTTTCTTCGCTGCCCACATTGTCCGTCCCCTCTTCCTCCCACTGACTTTGGGGTACCTGGATCATGGTTTCTCAGAGCATTCCAAAGGAAAAAGGGGTGAACCCCTAGATGGAAAAGACTGACACACAGCCCTTCTGGGAAAGAGCTGACTTTATGTTATGTCTGTAAATTTCATCAAAGAAGCAATGGACAGCCTTTGAGTCTTTTAATTCTTAATTCTATATAAAATGTTTGCTCTGTGTGTGTGTGTGTGTGTGTGTTTGTGTGTATGTGTGTGTGTGTAATATGCATGTGTGTAGGTCAGAGGACAACTTGTCCATTCTCCTTCTTCTGTGTGCATCCCAGGGAGGGGACTCAGGTCTTCATGATTGCAACAAGCACCTTTCCCCGTGCACCACCCAGCTGCCCGTGGCTGGGCTCATTTTTAACAAGGAGTTGGTAAATCATATTAAGTTTTCAGAAGCTGTGTTACAAATTATTTGAAAGTGTGAAGAACAAGAGGGACCAAGGTTGAGGCTGTAACAAACCCTTCCATGGGGTAGTATCTCCAGAGAAGGTGGGGGTGTCCTTCACTCGCCCTCCCTCACAGCACAACACTGAGTGGGAGACTGGAGATCTGCGCCAGGCCTGTGAAATAAAGGGTTAAAGGGGCCCCATGCTTGGAGACGAGGCTCAGTCGGTAGTATGCTTGTCTGGCATCCCGGAAGGCATGGGGGCATACACCGGTAATCCCGGCACTCCAGAGCCAGAGACAGGAAGATCAGAAATTCAAGCTCATGCTTGGCTACATAGCAAATTCAAGACCAGCCCAGGCTAAAAGAGAGAGGGAGAGGGTGGGGATAAGAAAACGAAGAGGGAGGGTGGGGAGGGGAGGACAAGAGAGGGACCCTACCAGTGGTACCCAGACGCAGGAGGATGAAAGAGACCCCAAAACTCATAAATAGCTAAAATTTGAGATAAAATGTTTAAAACAGATTATTAATTCCAGATGCTGGGAAAACGTAAAACGTGATTGTCATGATTGCAACAAGTTTACAGACTCACGAACCACGAGGACAATCTGTCCAAACTCTTCACTGAACAAAGGGGGAAACTGAGGCCCAGAGAGGTAAATTGGGGATGTTTCTAACTGCAGGGCGGGTGGGAAAGGCAAGACCCAGACTGTCCCTCTCTGGCATTCCCGTCCACTGTTCCCTGAACTGCAACGGCTTTCCTGGGGGAATTTCAATTCCCTGGGGTGGGAATGTCTCCACCATGAGGACAGGAAGAGCTGAATGCGAATGTGCTGAGTACATACCGAGCTCACAGGAGAACTACCAAGGAAGCATCGGTTGAAAAAGTGACGGCTTGCGAGTTGATCTCTTACGTTTTCCCATGTAGATTCATCCAGATAACTTGTTTCATGACTGGGAGGAAAGGGAGACAGGAGTACAGGGCTTTTTTTTTTATGTCTCAATGATCCCACACACCTCCTGCTCCCAGAGCCCTTGAAGATGCAAGTTAGAGGCCTCTCCTCCCGCCTGGTGAGGTTAAATTATGCGAATAGCCTGGCAAAGAACTCCGAACTGCCTGTCCCATTAATCAGGCCAAGCCATAAATTTCCTGCCTCATTGCCCCATGGAGAATCCTTCTGGGAGCCTGTCAGGCCGGAGCCGCGATGGAGCTCTGGCAGGGGATGGCCATCTCGGGTCAGTGTCCTCTGAGCATCAGAAAAGCTCAGCCATTGGACCCGGAGGAGCAGCCCAGACCCCAAGGTACTTGCTCTTTATGCTGTGTGATCTTGGACAGGCCTTTTGACCACTCTTGACTCTTCATTAATAAAATAGATGGTCCGGGGGACTGGAGAGGTGCTCAGTGGCTAAGAGCATTGAGTGGCAGATCTTTCAGAAGGCCTGGATTCGATTCCTAGCATCCACACTGTGGCTCACAACCATTTGTAACTTCAATTCCAGGGAATCTGATGACCTCTTCTGACTGCTGGCACCAAGGCACTAAGTGGCACACACACACACACACACACACACACACACACACACACACACACACACACAAAACACCTATACATATAAAATAATAAAATTAATTTTTAAAAAAACTAAGATTGTTTGGAAGGCTAGTAAGATGAAGTATATGAACTAGGAGGTGATATTTAAAGTATGGAGTAACAGAAATAGATCAGCCTAGACCATGAGCCAATTTCACCCCAAAAACCTCCTCATTGGCATTAGTACGACCATTGCCCTGGCTTGCTGGGAGGGGGCCCCGCCCTCCCCACCTATGTAACTCAAGTACCGCTGGACCAAGCTGTGCCAGCATGAGAATGTCTCAAGATCCAGCGGGCCTGGAATTTGCTATAAACCAAACCTATTTCTGCTTTTTCCTCTGAAAAGCAAAACCAAGCCGGACGCACACACAGAGGACCCTGGCTAGCTGCGGAGGTTGCATCCCGAGCTGGCCGGTTCTCAGCAGCCCCGCCAGGGGGCGCTGCGGCCTCCGCTGCGCTCCTCGCAGGGCGTGGCTCCCGGGCGGCTGCGCTATGATCAGGTACACAGGGTGCGTGTGCCAAGGCTCAGGGTACCTGGCAGGTACCAAGCCCCAGGTGCTGCCGGTTTCCGGGGGAGGTTGCCATACCTGTACAGTTCGCATATGCTATCCTAAGGCTTCAGCCTGAAACCGCGTCGTGGGCTCCTGGTCATGCCAAAGGTCCACCCTGTGGGCTCCACTGAGGCTCTGCGCAGGGATGCTTACGGGAAGGCTGCTAGCAGGGATGTTTCTGAGGTGGTTCCTTGCAAGGATGCTTTGTTGCTTCTCACACTGCAACACCCTATTTTTGGCCACATCGCTGCGTCTCTGAGGCAAGTCCTCAGACAGATGGGATCCAGGTAGCCATCCTGGACCAAAAGAGTGCGTCCATCCTAACCTAAAAACAACAACAAAAAAAAAGTGTGAAAATTTGGGTAATTTCACAGGTAAGTGTGTGGGTGTGTTAATTCTACAGTGATAAATAGATAAATATAAGTTATTTGATGGCTGGGGGTGTGGGGGGATGTGGTGTAGCTCAGTGGTAGGGCTAGTGGCTAACATGTGCCAGACTCTAGGTTCAATCCCTAGTACCAACAATAATAATAATAATAATAATAATAATAATAATAATAATAATAATAGCAATGTGCAGGTAAGTGTCTAACTTGGCTTGGGAGAATGTGTACCAGTTTATTTCCAAGTTTACATTTGTGCATGCCCATGACCATAATAACAGTGGCCTCCATGTCCTTTTGTGATTGTTTTGTTTGTTTATTTGTTTGAGACAGGATCTTACTGTGTAGCCTTGGCTCACTAGTAGACCAGTGTGGCCTTGAATTCAGACATCCTCCTGCCTCTGCCTCCAAGTGCTGAGATTAAAGGTGTGCACCACCACATCCTCAACATCATCTGGTATAAAGTCTCTAATCCTAGCCATTCTCCAAGGATATAGTCTGTTTCTCTCTGTGTCTGTCTGTCTGTCTCTGTCTGTCTGTCTCTCTCTCTAATATATAAATTAAAATAATACAATAGAGGAATCTGGTAGCACACTTGGAGGGCAGGAGGATCTACAATTCAAAGCTACCTGGGCTCCATGAGACTCTATCTCAAGTTCTTTCTAATGAGGGGGTGGAGCTGGCATGTAGATTAACTGGTAACTTGCTGGCCTAGCACACAGATTGCCCTTGGTTAAGTCTCCTGCATAGCACAAAACTGGGTGTGAGGGGGCCATACCTATAGCCCAGCACCAGAAGTGAAGGCTGGAGAATCAGGATCTCAAGGTCATCCTCAAACAAACCCAAGACCAGCCTGGGAAAGGCCTCACAAATGAAATAAATGAACAATAAACAAGTAAATCATAAATGTAAAACTTTAAGCAATATCATATTGTGGTTTAAATCTGTAGAGGGACAATTCCTAACCCTCTGAGTTGTTCTGAGGTATCTCTGCCAGAGAACACACCGACAGGCTTAAAGCCAGATAGAAAGTCTTTATTCTCACTGGCTGCACCAAATCATGTAGCCCCAAGCCTTGCCATTCTTGGCTTTTTATGCACAAAAACAACATCCTGGCTTGGCACACTTCAATTAGCAAGAACAGTTAGCAATGAGTAAGCTACAGAAGCCAAGAAAGCAAAGTTGATACATGTAGGGACTTTCCTAGAACTATGGACTATGTTGGATTCGGTCTTCGTTCTCATTTTGGCAGGTGACGGGGTCTACATGGTGGTTCTTAGGTCACAATAGTGCCTCTAACATGGCCTCAGTGGTACTAAATTCTGGGGGCCTGTTACATAGTTTCTTGAAGACTGATCGCACTCTATTTAGAACTTGTATAATGAAGTATCCTTCCCCTTTAACTGGGTTACTTTCTCATTTCAAAGATTTTTCTGGAAGTAGTGTCCTACTTTTTTTCCTTCTTCTATACACACTATACTTCTGTGATGAGACTCTAGTTCAAGCAGGCTTCCCCACTGGGAGATAACCTTGGGTTCCCTGTCCGTGGGCACCCAGTTGCTTCTGTGGCACCAGAAGGAATGGCCACTTCTCCCTGCTTTCCCAACCATCTTTGCAACAATTCCGGACACAGGGGCCATGGGAATCTATTTCTGGAATCTTGATTCCGTGCCAACAACCTGAGCCTCATTCTCTACCAATACACACCATCTCAATTGCCCCATGTATGTTTACAGAAAATTTCAAAACTGGATTGTGTCACTTTGCCAACTCTGCCTTCAAAATAGTTCTGCATATTCTTAAAACATCTCTCAAAATTGCATTTCTATAAAAGTTTTACAGCCACCTTGACAAACTCTACAGAAAAGCTGTCTGGAATTTTATTGGAATTGTGTTGACTCTTTAGATAACCTGGGGAGAAAAGGAAAAAAATATGTGGCCATTTCAAGCAACATGCATGCCATACCACTCTATTTAGTCAACCTTAATTGCATTTATGTATTAGTGTGCATGTGTACATGCACACACATGTCACAGCACCCAAGTGGAGGTCAGAAGACAAATTGCTTTAACAGAGGAGGGGGGAGGGGGAGAGGAGAAGCAAAGTGAGCAGGCCAAACACCGGTGGGTTTTCCATTACTAAGTTGGTAAGTTTACTCCAGCACCAATGTTCCACTTTCCTTAGTAATATAAAGTTGTGGGTTTTTATCTCTACAAACCCAGTGTCTTTTCCAAATAGGATATTTCAGTGCGAGACTGGAGAGATGACGAACAGTTAAGAGCACTGGCTGCTTTCGCAGAGGATCTGAGGTCAGTTTCCAACACCCAAGTCAGGCAGTCAGAGCACAACTGCCTGAAACTCTGGCACCAGGGGATTGATGCTCTCTTCTGGCCTCTGAGGGTAGCTGCACACATGTGGCACGCACACACACACACACACACACACACACACACACACACACACACAAAAATAAAAATATTTAAGTGCAAATAATTCATAAAAGTCTAAAAAATACATGAGTATTTATATGATCCTGAAGTGGGGCAAAAGTCTGTTTTAGCAAGAGACAGAAAAGTAAAAAATCATGAAGGAAATAATTGGCATCTAATTATGTAAAATACACGTAGATCAGAGATATTGTAGAGAGCCTAAACTGCGGCCCAGCTATCAGAGTGCATGTCTGGCATGCACAAAGCCCAAGTTTGGTCCCCAGAACTGCATAAACAAGGGGTGGTGGCTGATGCCTACAACCCCAGCACTGAGAAGGTCAAAGCAGGAAGGTCAGAAGTTCAAGGTCATCCTCCACCACACAGTGAGTTCACAGCCAGCCTGGGATACATAGGCCCCTGTCTTAAAAACAAACAAAAAGTATTGTAAACAAAGGAAAACTAGAAATCTGAACACCAGGTGTTTGCAGCACACCTGCATGGGGTGATTACCTCAGCACTGAAAGCCTTGGAGGAACAGGAGGGAAATGGTTTCACTGCATTAGTACTGTTTGTATCTACAAGTTAGTGTGCCTATAAAGCTTTCTATGCATATTAAACATTTGTAATAATTTTAAAACAATGAAAGCAAAACACCAAACAGAAAGAAAAACCAACAGAAAACTGCTGTGCTGTACACAGACATTCTTACCACTGCCAGTTATTAAAGAAAAATGGCGGCATTGGCGGGGAGTGAGCTGCCTGGTCAGTCAGGGACAGTCCTCTCGGGGCACTGGAAATGCTGTGGGCATTATAAACAAACTGTAAATGCTATGTGCATTATAAACAAACTGTAACATAGCTGCACCTTTAAAGAGCACCTCGTCCTTACTTATCCCAGATAAGCACATCCCCATATATACATTTTCAACATTTTGATAGTTTAATATATTTTTTTAAAAATTCTGAGCAGGGGCTGGAGAGATGGCTCAGAGGTCAAAAGCACTGACTACTCTTCCAGAGGTCCTGAGTTCAATTCCCAGCACCCACATGGTGACTCACAACCACCTAATGAGATCTGGTGCCCTCTTCTGGTGTGCAGATAGAATACTGTATATATATAAGTAAATAAAACTTTTAAAAAAATTCTGAGCAATCAGTGTCCCTCGATGGGGGTTTGTATACATAACAATACTAGCTACTTTTTATTGCTATAATGAACATTTTTGGTTAATACACATAACCAAAAGTAACTTATAGAAGAGTCTCTTTGGCTTATGATTCCAGAGAGGAGTCCAGAAGGATAGCAGAGGTGTGGCAACAGGAAGCTGGATCAGGAAGCTAAGGGAGATCACATCTGCAGCCATAAACATGAAGCAGAGACTGAACTAGAAGTGAGACAATCCTCTACACCCTCAGGAACCACCCTCCATGACGTACTTCCCCAACAAGGCTGGTGTTGAGCTCGGGGAGGGATAGAAGCTCTTCCTGACACCCTGGCTGAGAAACAGAACCCACAGCAAACATCAGTGTTGCTAGAGTTTTTCTGTCTGGCCCACAGTCAGGACAAATCTCTCTCACCCGCCAGTCCCAAGCCGCTCAAACCCGATCAAGTAAACACAGAGACTTATATTGGTTTCAAACTGTATGGCCGTGGCAGGCTTCTTGCTAACTGTTCTTACAGCTTAAATTAATCCATTTCATTAATCTATACCTTGCCACATGGCTTGTGGCTTACCGGTACTTTACATCTTCCTTGTCCTGATGGCGGCTGGCCGTGTCTCTTCCTCAGCCTTTCACTTCCCCGTTCTATTCTCCTCCTTGTCCCGCCTATACTTCCTGCCTAGCCAATGGCCAATCAGTGATTTATTCATTGACCAATCAGCAACACATTTGACATACAGACCATCCCACAGCACTTCCCCTTTTCTTTTCTTAAAAAGGAAGGTTTTAACCTTTACACATCTCCAAAGTCAGCTTGGTATATTTGGGAATTTGGGCGTAGCTTTTCTTACTACTTCCTGCTGGAGGGGGGCGCTGTTTCTTCTGGGGAAACAAAGAAAATTTTAGGATCATGGAGTAGTCCGTGAGGCTGTATCATCTGAGCCAGTTGCCTTGAAACGGTTCTGGATGTTGGATCATCTGAGCCATGGTGTCATCGGAGACCTTTCAGGGGGTCTTGGCTGGTCAAACCTGATGTATCTTAATCTGGAACAAATCCATAGCCTCTGGCTTTCTGTGGAAAGAAAAGCAGAGCCTCCTTTCCAAAGCAACATATCCTTACATCCAAATTTTGAAGTCAAAGTATCTTTAAAATATACGTACTGGTTTAACTCAGC